TGCAGAGACGTATGTCCTGACGATAATCACGGGTCATTTTTGGGGATCTTAAATAGAATCGCTAGTTCGGTGAAATGCAATCAACCCAGGTGCTGCAGCCCCTTACACTCCTGCATTGCCAATACATGTGTGTGTGTTCCAGTTCCACCTCCACCACCACCACCTCCCCCTCCTCCGGAGCCCGAGGTTGTCCCTGAGCCCCACCGCCGTAGCAGTTCCATGAGGGTGACAGGGACCACGTACAGGAGCAGTGTGAGGGGACGTAGCTCTGATGACCTGGTCATTGGTACACACTTGGGCATGGGTACTGAACTTTACTGTCTCTGTCATCATCAGCAGCAACATTAACACCCCGACCACCTCGGCACGCTTGACTCCTATCACGATCATGACGCCATTAGCACTGGTATTGTTATCATTGTGCCTGTCCACACGGTCCTGTTTAAATTTACTTATTGATCAGAATTAAGTTTTCTTCAAGCTTCTTTTATATGAACAGTTTTGTTGAAATCACTACATGCTTTTACATTTGCATATTTAATGTATTATTTAATGTATTTAACATGATCCCATGCAGTCATGTAGTAACATCAGTCTAAATCCAGTATATCTCTTTGCTGATCTCACTCACTCTGCTCACTAACTCACAAGCCACCCAAAGCCCAAATACTAACAACACATGCAAAGCTGGAATCTATATTTGGGTCTATCTCACTCATAAGAGTCTAAGTTCTTCCAATGGTTGTGTTATCATAGGCCACCGTGCAGAGCCATTACTGGAGACGGGGATGAGGCTAGCTCCAGGAGAGAGACAGTCAGGGGATGGTACCTCTCTCCCTGAAACTCCCAACAACCTCACTAATGTACGTAGCCATGCCCATTTTAATGAGACAAGATGCATATAATGATGGCAATTAAAGAGTTAGGATAAGAATTCTCAAACCAGTATATATATATTTATATATTCGTCTGCACATTTTCACCATGTAAGCTGTCAGCAGTGTACGCTGAACTGGAGAACATGTATTCAGCCAAGAGGTCCAAGTCTCTGAAGAGTCGCCCGCCTCCTGCCCCTGAGAGTTTGCTGGATCTGGACCCTCCGTCACGCACGGCATCCCCTACGATACACCTTAACACAGGTAGCTGATTGTAGACGTTTGCGTTTGGAGCTGGAGTGGAATCTTACTCTAATACACAAAATCTCCATCTGTCTGTACATCATGAAAACCTCCTTTATGATCAGGAGCTGAGCACCCAAACCTGACACACAGGTACATCTTAGAGCCCTGAAATTTCTTATCTGTGAAACATATTATTTGGGCGTTGTCACGTTACCTAGCAACCACCTAGGTAACGTTTGTGTGTGTGTGTGTGGGTTAAACGAACAGATTTGTTTTCCTGCTGTACATAAATACACAGCAGAGCAGAGGTTTAAGACAAATACAAAATTTAATCTCCTCAAAAAATTATTTTCCCGAGGGCTAATTTATCTTTTTTTATGACCCACTTGGGAAGGATCAGAGCAGTCATCACAAATTAAATCTGGATCACACTGGGTTAGGCTCTGACGATTTAAAATTTTTACATCAGTAACAAAGTGCTGTCATTGAACACTGAGCTGCATACATATTTGGTGATGGTGGATCACCATTAAGTACACCCGTCAGTCAAAAATTAGATTTCTCTGATAGTAATGTAATTACTGTATGTAATATGAACACGAGAATCATTACTTATATTTGTTCTCATAATTCACTGACTGCAAGGTATCATTAAAGAGACATTTCTTTTAACTGCTACATTTAAACATAATTAAGAAAGCCAAGATTCTGCTGTCATCATTACAACGTATCATTTCCTTGTCTTAGGTAGCCGCAAAGGCCCTTCATCCCATACATCCTGGCCGGAGCCTCTCCCCAGCCCCCCACAATCCCAGTTCTATCCATCAGGGTTAACAAGCCAGACCAGTGGGGAGTCCAACCCTTACATCAGCCTTGACAGTCCCCCTCCCTCACCTCCAGAACCCCCTGACTACCCGTCGAGCCCCCCTGCTCACCGCAGCAGCAAGCGCCGTTACACCTTCTCCAAACCGCCTCGCTCTGAAGACACAGACCGCTTTCTGGATGCACTGAGCGAGCAGCTGGGACAGAGGGTGGCAATTGTCGATGACTTCTTGACTCCTGAAAACGACTATGAAGAGGTAGAATCACATTAACACTGCACCAATTTTGCAAAGCACTGAAATGAAATTATCATCAAGTAACTGTTTCGCTACTGGGAAAACTGATGTTTAACTTTTCACAGTAATCAAAACTCCTTTAATTTCTACAAGGTGCTTTATGCAGTAAAATAAAATGCCTGTTAAATCCTTTGTGACCACAAAGCACAGGACACACAAAGACATTGTTCTGTGTTTGTAATAAAAGATGCTGGGACATGTTTCCCCAGTTTGTTTAATATAAGATTTCAACAGTTTACCAGTTTAGAGTCTCTCTTGTTGTATAGGGTCAATCTGTCTCATGCCTCTGGCTCCTATTTTGGAGTATGTTATCTGCTTATATTTTTATTTTTGCAGTACAACATGTCATATTTGCTCAATCCAGCATGAAAGATGAATAAAATGTGTCTTTTCTTTATTTTTGTGACTAAGAATTGCATGTTTTAAAGGGTTCTATGTGCTTTATTTTACAGTATTATGAAATTATCTTTGACCAGAATAGTGAATTTCTGTTGTTTCTGTGACTTCAAACAACATCATAAAGCATAAAGCATGATTAAAATTTACTTAAGGTTTTCTCATAGGTGGACTGCCTTGACCTTGGTGTTTTTAAAATCAAAGAAAATTTATAGAATAATATGTGTCATAGAGAGAGGTTCACAAGCTGTTGTTGACCTGACAAATAAATCTTCAAATGAAAGAGCATGTAAAGGATTTAAAAACTTAACTGCAGCATTTGCATTGAAATACATTGAGGAGGTTGTAGAGAACCTGCTTACCAATTTATGTATTTTATTTCTGGTTAACTCTTGTAGTTTGACAAATGTACCAAAAAAATCCACTTTGGCATTAGGTCTAATGAAGTGTAATTGGTGTTAATGCCAGGATGTTGTGCAGATGGGCTTCCCAGATGAAGAGGATGAGGATAATGAAGACGATTTGGTGGTGGATGAAGAAGAAAGTGGAGGATTTGTCGCTCCAGAGCTCAGCAGCCCGAGTGATGTCCAGAGCAGCAGTGGAGAAGAAAATGCCTCATCTCTGACCTACTCATCTTCCTCTGATCACATTCCCCCACCCCCCATGACCCCTCCTCCACCCCCACCAGTCCAGTTCAATGATCCACCTCCGCCTCCTCCGCCCCCAGCACCTGCACAGAGTCAACCGCAGCACCAACAGCAGCAACAGCAGCAGCAACTAAGCTACACTCCCGAACATTCCCCAAGAACATACGTGCCCATCCGCCGGAAATCCGGCCCTCCTCCCCCACCTCCTCCCCGCAGTAATCCACCACCTAAACGCCACTCCTTGCATAAAGTCCTCCCTACAAGGGAAGACCTACAGGTGCATGCTACCATACAAGAGCTAAAAGCCTACCAAGAGCAACAAGCCTACCAGGAAAGGCAAGCCTATGAGGAGCAACAGGCGTATAAAGAGAGGCAGGCATATGAAGAGCAAAAAGCCTTTGAAGAACAACAACTCCTGCAAGAGCAGCAGGCCTTGCAGGAACAACAAGCTTATCAGGAGAAAATGTTCAAAGAGAGACAGGCTTATGAAGAGCAGAAGGCATTCGAGGAGCAGAAAGCTTTTGAAGAGCAACAGTTGTACCAAGAGCAACAGGCCTACCAAGAAAGACAAGCGTACGAGCAGCGTCAAGCCTACCAGGAGCAAAAAGCATATGAACAGCGTCAAGCCTACAAGGAACAAAAAGCATTCGAGGAGCTTCAAGCCTACAAGGAGCAAAAAGCATTCGAGGAGCTTCAAGCCTACCAGGAACAAAAGGCCTATGAGGAGCAAAAAGCCTATGAGGAGCGACAAGCCTATAAGGAGCAGCAAGCGTATCAAGAGCAACAGCTGCACCAGATCTACCAGAGCCACCACTCGATGCCTGCCCAGCCAACGCAGCAGAAAGCCCATTCACCTCTTCCTCTTCAGTCCTTACCTCCTCTTCCCTCTCCAGACTCCGTCCATCACCATGCAAACCACCCTCTTTACATGATGCGCCAAGCACAGCAGCAGCAGGCCCACCAGACTCATCATCACCGACGTCTGTCCCGTTCTGCGCCTCCCCCACACCAGCCGTCACCCCAACCAACAGGCCATCCCAGCCAACAAGGTCAGTACGTAGAGGGCATCTACCAAAGTCATCAGAGTGTAAGACCCCAGCCCCACCATTCCTCAACTGAGATGCTCCACCAGATGCACCAAGCCCCGGCTCATCATTCCTCAACTGAGGTGCTGCACCACTTGCAGCAATCCCAGGCCCACCACTCATCTGCTGAGATGCTTCAACAGATGCAGCAAGTCCATGCCCACTACTCATCATCAGAAGTGCTCCACCAAATGCACAAATCCAAGGCCCATCATTCGTCAACAGAGCTCCTGCACCAGGCACAACAGATGCAGCAAATACAGCCTCTCCACTCCTCCACCGAACTTCTCCACCAAGCCCACCAGATGCATCGAGGACAGCCCCACCATTCCTCAACTGAGCTGCTCCATCAAATTCATAAACCCCAGGCGCACCACTCCTCTACAGAGCTTCTTCATCAGGCCCATCAAATGCACCAACCCAAGCCCCATCACTCCTCCACAGAGCTTCTGCATCAAACCCAGCAAGAGCCTGCATCCCTCCCAGTTCAGCTAAATCGGGATGGCCACTCCCATCAGAGCAGGAGAAGTCTAAAGGGCCATCATCAAACTGAAGTGTCGGTGCAGGGGAGGCACCAAGAGCAGCAGATCCACCAAACCCACCACCCCCAGCCCACAAAACCCTCCCCCCAGAGACCCCACTCTATCCAGCAGACGCACCACCATTCCAGCACTCCTCAGATCCACCACATCCATCACATGACCCCACAGCCACCTCCTCAGGACTACCAGCACCAGATTCACGTCATCCACCCTCCCCAGCAGCCTCACAGGCCCCAGCCCCTTCTCTCCACCTTTCAACCCCTGCAGCCACACCAACCCACCCTCTCCACTTTTCAGCCACTGCCTCAACACCCCCAGTCACAGCACCAAGTCCAGTCCTCCACCCAAACTGCCCGCCCACAGTCACAGCCCTCGCATCATTTGCTGCAATCTCAACACCAGTCACAATCCCAGCCTCACCATAAACAATCCCACAGCCAGAGCCAGCCCCAGTCCCTCCCCCACTCTCTTTCTGACCCCACGGAGCACCTAGAGCCCCCACCACCTCCTCCTCTCCCCCCACCCTGCTCCCCTCCACCTCTACCAAGACCTAGTCTGTCCAGAATGGACTCCAACCATATGAGTGTAAAGAGGCTGCGCTGGGAGCAGGTGGAAAACTCAGAAGGGACAATATGGGGACAGGTGAGTTCTGATTGGAAGCCAAAGCTTCTCAAAGTGCCACCGAGTTTAGATTTAGAATTCTAAATGTAAAATATTTTGCAAAACTATAACATTTAGACCTTTTTTAAACTAAAAAAATTGTGTTTCTAACAGTTGGGAGCAAATTCTGACTATGAAAAACTGCATGACATGGTGAAGTATCTGGATCTGGAGCTGCACTTTGGAACACAGAAGAGCGCCAGTGAGTATAAGGGGCTGTGTGCCTAACTAGAGTGCTTTTATCTGTGTGCACAGCTAAATATTCATAAGAGTTAGGGAAGCCCAGTATAAAGAGTGAAAAATACTTTGATTAGTGATTCATTAGTTGGGAAGACAACATTATACCTTAAGGTTTTTAGATGTCTTTAATCACAGTCCAAGGATACAGAGATGAATTTTTAAACAAAGAATGAGGCAGCTTCCTCTTTGGGTTGAAGGACCTTGGCTTGATCTGTCATTGTACTCTATATAATTTGCCTCTAAGAAATCAATGTAAGCTATGTAAAAGGAAAATTTAGACTAAATCTGTTTGTCCAGTCTTTCTCACCTACCTTTCTAAATTTTGGCATTTAACTTCCCCGGTCTAATTTTTTAGTGCCTGCCCCAGAACCATGCCCTCAGCTAGAAACCTTCAAGAAGAAAGATGTTATAGAAATTCTGTCCCATAAGAAAGCTTACAATGCCTGTGAGTATGACTGCCTTTAATAAAAATGTTTCAAATGTCATTTGTAATTAAGATGTCAAGATGAAAGTTAGAAACCATAGTTGTAGCTCTGTGAATCAGAGTTAAGTACTTTGATGATGATTATCTTCTGCCTCTAGCCATCCTGATAGCACACCTGAAGCTGTCTCCAGGGGAACTGCGTCAGATTTTGATGAACATGGCCACAGACAGGCTGGAGCCAGCCCACATTAAACAGCTGCTACTATATGCCCCCGATGCAGAGGAGATCAAAAAATATGAAGAGTATAGACAGGACCCCAGCAAACTGAGCGAGCCAGATCAGTTTGTGCTGCAGGTACAGTTCTGGTTTACCGTTACCGGGCTACTTTTGAGTTTCATTGATCTTGCATTTATCTTGATCTGCCTGTTGTGCATATATCAGATGTTATCAGTACCGGAGTACCAGACCCGCCTCCAGTGCCTCCTCTTCAAGTGTTCTCTTCAGGAGAAGACAGAGGAGCTGAAAGGAGCATATGACTGTATTTACAACGCCTCCATGGAGCTGAAGACCAGCAAGAAGCTAGCTAAGATACTAGAGGTAGCCCTTATGTTCAGAAAGGTTATGTCACTGTAGATTAGAAACACATGAAAATACCACATACTTTTTTGACTAGTCTGTGAGATACTGATAAGAGACAGAGTCACTGTAGAAGCAAAGGAGGACATTCGCTAAATTATGTCTTTTTTTGTGTGAAAGAAGAAGAAAAGAAGATGAAAAATTAAATTACGGGAGCAAAAAAATTACACTCATAAACTAGGGGTGAAAATTAACAATGAAGATAAATTACTGTTGATGCAATAACAGATCTGTTTACTAATTTGTGCCCTGTTTAGTTTGTGTTGGCGATGGGGAACTACTTGAATAACAGCCAGCCTAAAACCAACAAAACTACAGGCTTTAAGATCAACTTCCTTACAGAGGTACACCGAATGATATTTAACATATTATGGAGTATTTATGTATGGGCTTGCATGTGTATTTTATGACTCCACAATATCGCGTGCAGCTGAGCACAACTAAAACAGTGGATGGGAAGTCAACATTTCTGCATATCCTGGTTAAATCGTTATGTCAACACTTCCCGGATGTGTTGGATTTTTCCAAAGATCTTACGATGGTTCCACTTGCAGCAAAAGGTAGATACATACATTTGCCTTTTAACATTTGTTGAGAGTGCCAAAAATGTACTGGCACGATTGTCAAATTTAAGTGGTTGTTTTCATTTTGGCTAGATCTGCTTTTTGTCTCTGAGCATCTTTTTCCTCTTGCCTCTGGTTTCCTATGTTGCACGCACGCACACCTGCTTTTAGTAAACCAGAGGAACATCACCTCCGATCTGAATGACCTTCATACCACAATCCAGGAGATTCGCTCAGCTTGTCAGAAGATGCCTGCGACCTCTGAGGACCGCTTTGCTGTTGTCATGAGTGTATCCTTAAAACCCCCCCACTGGGGTCAGGGGACAAAGAAAACACTATGTAGTAAATAAGATTAAACATTTTTGTGCCTTAACTCTATGGTGTTAAGAATTTCCTGGAAAACAGTCATCCTGCAATCCAGTCTCTGGAGTCTCTCCAACAGAGAGCCATGGAAGAATTCAGCAAGACTGCCTCCTACTTTGGAGAAGACGGCAAAGCCACAAATACCGAGGCCTTCTTTGGTATCTTTGCCGAATTCATAAACAAGTTTGAGGTGAGCAGGAAATATTGAGCCATTCTTCATTCAAATGATTATCTTTGTTGCATCTGCAGCATATTTCCTTTGTAGTTCCCTCCCAGCCGTCTCAGTTGCTTTTGCTCAACTGCTTGTGATGCATAACCTAAAAGGTTGCAGATAAACAGTTGCACTGTGTTATTATCTGATGACTGCCTCATTACTTGCTATATTTTCTGCTTTGCCAGTGTTTTTATTTTTAGAGAGGGTCGTGCATTCTGTTTAGTAATGAGCACTGTCTGCATTAAATCAAAAAAGCACTCTGCTAGGTTACAGCACTGATAATGAGCTTCATGATGTAAACTAGCAGCGCCACTTTGTAAACACTCAGCATTCATTAACGTGTTCCAGCCCGCCAGACGTTTGATATTGGAGGTTTTAGATGCTATACTTTAAATTTTAAAAAAGCGGAGTTTTGAAAAATGTAACACTGTTTTGCATATTTCTATCATTTGCATTTAGTGTTCAGTATGTTAAGTGCAGCAGCTTTTTGCTTTTCCTTTTTCCTCTGTTGCTTTTTCTTTTTGAGCTTTGCTGTGCATGTAGTTTTCAAACTTATCTAACTTTCTTTTAACTAATCTTTTTTTTTTACATCTGTTTATTAACATTTCTATGTAGTGTGTAGACCACATGAATAAAAGTACAGGGCTACACCTCTTTGTCTATGATGTCAGGTGTATAAAATCAAGTACCTGCCCATACCGTCTGCTTTTTATAAACATCTCTGGGATAAGTCAGTTCATGAAGTTTCTCACCTCCCAGATATTCCACAATCAACTCTAAGAGGTGTTATTGAAAAGTGAAGGTGTTTAAGAACCACAGCAGCTCAGCTACAAAGGGGCAGACCACATAAAGTTAAGAGCAGAGTCAACCAGTGCAACCTCCATCATTAACATCAGCCAAAAACTGTGCGCCTGGAGCTTAATGGCATAGGTTTCCATGGCTGAGCACCTCCTGCAGGTGTACTGTACACGTGGCCCAGTACTTTTGTCCATATAAGGCACTGTCACAAAAAATAAAAATATATATTTAGAAATATTACATATTTCAATAAGCAGGATGCATGCAACAAAGCAGTAGGTTAGAAGAACTAAAAATAATACTACATGGAAAAACAAAGGATGTATATAAAAGTAAATTAAAAGAAAATCCTGCATCATCGTTTTTCTGCATTTCTTTGCCACAGAGAGCTCTGAGTGATCAGCAAGTTGCTGAAATCCCAAAAAGCCCCAGGAGTCCACGAATGGCCTCCCCGCTGGCCTGGTAACACACATGCACGTGTGAAGATTACAACATGCAGTTGTTCATACAGAACAAAGTATACCCAAGTACACAAACATCCTATATACGTATACTAGTATATAAATACATTAACATACAAGCACATAAACCACACATCACAATACCAAGCAAAAAAAACAAGTTAGATGAAGGGAAAAGCAGAAGCATTGGCATCAAAGACAGATAATGTAGCTTTAGACCAGTGTTGTACTATATTATATGTATCTTCAATGATGACGACCAGTCAGTAGACTGCAACCTTGTTTAACCTTCAGGATAACTCTGCTGTTTGATAGTCGCTCAGTAACATCGCATAGTTTAAGTAATATTTCTCTAAGCCCTCTAAGTTTAGGTCATTGAGCACCTGCATAGTGCGGTATGACAATGATTTAATAAAATCTTTGTGGCATAACCACAATTAAGACATAGATCCAAAGATAGATATTTAATTTAAATATATTCACACTTGTTGGTTCAGATGAAAGTACAAAAGCAGTTTTTGAATTAGTTTGACCTTTTTAAGGTGCCCACCGCACTGAATGTAACCTAAATTCTTTACTAAGTGATGCTTGTTTTCTTAAGTAAGTCCTCAGCTTAGGATGCATTCTTTGCAGCACTCCTTTAGTTTCAGTGGAATTTTCCATTTTCTACCATGCCAGCTGTGGTGGTAAGATTTTTTTTTTTTGTATTGCTGTTGTATAATGGCTCAAAGTCACTGTTGGTGGAATTTTCCATCTCAAACCGTGCCAATATACCAGTAGGATTTATTTCTTTTTTGGATTGTTCATTTTGTTTCTGCATTGCTCCTATATAATGCTTTACTTCTTATCCTACCAACATGTACGTATATAAAGGTGTCACTGGCTCCAGTCTCGAAGACACTGATAACAGATTGCCGAAGTGGGATTATGTGGATCTTACAGCGGGCACTGTGCAATAAATGAATGTTTAACTGTAGTCCACTGTTTGGTGTTATATCTATTAAAGTGTAAATAGGGATTATATTGTGCGTGTGGACTGTACATAATAAGACAGAATATGAAGAAAACATACACTACAATTTATAAAGCACTTTGTTACTTTAATGTATTAACCAAGTATTTCTTTTACTGAATGTGTGATATGATGGGACCATAGAGTTATACCACTGAGAGGTCGAAATATCATATCGTGTAGCAGCATTTGATATCATTTTCACACACAACTAATAATGCAGTATACCAGCTGTTCAGATATTCCAGTGCTTTGTAAAAACTGAAGCTTATAGCTAATATTTTTTGAAATCATAAAATATTATTACAAATTATTACGGTAACAGTAATGTGTGCAGTCAGTAAAACCTTTGTTTTCTAATGGTATAAGTTGTAATGTTCTGGCTAAAGTACAGAATGTAAACCTCTAAGGCACTGGCGTTCATTTAAGGCCTACTAAGTGTTAAGTCTGTGTTTTGTATTGTAATCTAAATCTGACAAATATAAAGAGCTGTGTGAGATCCACATTTGGGTGAATGTCTTCTTCAGAACTTAAGCTGTCTTTATCAGAGATGGGCAGTAACGCGTTACAAGTAACGCGTTACTGTAATCCGATTACTTTTTTCAAGTAACGAGTAAAGTAAGGGATTACTATTGCAAAAACGGTAATTAGATTACCGTTACTTTCCCGTAGGAACGCTGCGTTACTGCGTTACTAAAACCGTGATTTTCTTGCAAGAATGTCTCATGACAGTGACGTAAGCGAGTGCGACGTGTGTGACAACAGCTGTGTGCAGATCAACAATGGATCATATATCGAGTGCGGGAGAGAGTATGAGCGTGCAGCGTTTAAAGCGTGGAAGTACTGACCTTACTTTGAGTTTGGTGCACCTGCACCAGGATAACCCTCCGCCTACCCCACTCCTGCTTTACAGGTGAAAATAGAGCAAAAGGACTGCTAGTCTTTGACTTTATTTATTTTCTGCTGTGTTTTACTTGCATCTGAAAGAGTGAGTGTAAACACAATATATATATATATATATATATATATATATATATATATATATATTATGTGCTGGAATGTGCAGAAAATAGGTTTAAATGTTAAACTAATTTCTTCCAGTCAGAGAATGTTGCATATAATTAAAATTTTGCTTCATGCATAAAGTTAAAAGATTAAAACTAACAAAACAAGTTTTAAAAAGAGACTTTTCCATTTGATTACATTTTGTATGATGATTATGTAGAAAAAGTAGAATTGGGCTGAAAGATCTATCACTTTATCACCTATTCAGGTTGTAAATCATGTTTTTAAAAAGTAACTAAGTAACTAAGTAACTAAGTAATTAATTACTTTTGAAAATAAGTAATCAGTAAAGTAACAGGATTACTTTTTTGGGGAAATTATCAGTAATTAATTACTGATTACTTTTTTCAAGTAACTTGACCAACACTGGTCTTTATACAGGAATGCTGAATGGACTGTATTTATGCCAGGGCAAAATCAAACACCTCATATACCCGTGTCCTTACAACCTGATTACTGCTCCACATGGCATTGCTGCAACCAGTTAATCTCTGCTACTGAGGTGCAGTGTTTATGAGCATTTGTCTTTGTAAGATAAGCCTGTATCTGCATTTTTCTCTCCTGGATGTGAACACACACACACAATCTCAATGTTACTTTGATAGCATATTATCACTGCCCACATCTTTAGTGTATTTTACATGCATTTAACACATTCAGCAATCACAGTTATTTTACTGACAACGGGACTCTGTTGTGAAAAGACCTCCCTGTGTGGAGTAATAAATCTCTTACATTTTAACTACACCGTGTCGTGGACGAGGTAAAAGTGGAGTTTGATCTTTTGGAATGGAAGTGGAAGAAGCTTTGATTCCCAAGTCATTCGTGACACATTTGTGAATCGGTTGGCTTGCACAAGTTGACTTGCAGAGAGCCCAGCTGGAATGATACAAAGTGTGACGGTGTACTGAAAGGTAAGCTTGTTTTATTCAATTAATATCCAACAGAAAGCCTAAGAGGGTAAAATGGCGAGCTGCAGTTGTTGCTGTTATCTCAGATAGAGCTGTTTTGTCATTTTTAATTCTACTATATTGGAGGAACTTTGACTAAGTCTTAAACAAGCCAGCAGATGTGTTTAAGAGTGAAGTATTTTTGGTGCTGTATAAAGCAATCTGTCTGACATGGTGGTCAACTCAACTACACACGCATACATATACTCATATACTTTATTAGGTACACATTGGGTTGCACAACTGCTCATGAAGGCAAATCTTTAATCATCTAATCACATGGCAGCAACTGTGCTAACTCAGTGATCAAGAGGACATGCTGAAGTTCTAACCAAGCATCAGAATAGAGTTTTTATTTTTTTTATTAAGGTTGTTTGTGCAAGATGAGCTCGTCTAAATATTTCAAAAATTTTTGATCTACTGGGATTTTCCCACACAACCAGGGTTTCAGAGAATAGTCCAAGAAAAGAGAGAATATCTAGTGAGCAGCAGCTCTCTGGGAGAAAATGCCTCAGATTAGAATGGCCAAACTGCTTCAAGCTGACAAGAAGGCAAATACCCACTTGTTGCAACTAAGGTGTGCAGAGGAGCATCTCTGAACACACAACATGTCAAACATTTAAAGTAGACATGCTACAGTAGCAGAAGACCACACCGAAGACCACTGCTGTCAGCTAAGAACAGGATACAATTCACATGGATTCACCAACACTGGACAAAAGGAGACTGTAAAAATGTTGCCTGGTCTGATGAGTCTTGATTTCTGCTGCACATTTGGATAGTAGGTTCAAGGTCAAGGTAACTTTATTTATACCCATAGGCAAGGTAAATTTGCTTTACAGAAAAATGATAGCATTTGGCATCCCTTCCAAAAAAAAAAAAGAAAAAAAGATTTGGTGTAAACAACATGAAAGCATGGATCCACTCTGTCACCAGTTCAGACTGTGGTGGCACAGGAGATTCCTGTCACATACGGTCAGTTGAGAAATCTGCAGCACCTGTGTGATGCTTTCGTGTCGATCTGGATCAAAATCTCTGAGAAATGTTTGCTAAACTAACTGAATTTATGCCATGAAGAAAAAAGCCAGTCCAACCCAGTTCTACCAATGTGTAAGAAAAAAAAAAAGTCTGGTAATTGGATTTTATGTCTGTGTTTAAGCTGAAAAGAATTTTCTACTTCATTCACTGTTGGCTCCTGAGACTGACTTTAAATTCTTGGATTCCAGATGACCTTTGACCTTCCAGTAGAACGCCAGGGGACCAGCGTGCCCCCATCCACATCCCCATCCCCATCTCCAGGGCATGGCAGTACGCTTGACACCGTGGATATAGTGGTGCTGGTAATCTATTTTCTACTGGTGTTGGGAGTCGGCCTATGGGTAAGCACAGAAAATTATACCAACATTTTTACACGGCGATCTGTATTCTTTGTCATACAAACTAAAACGAATTCAGATCTAATGCCTTTAAATATAAAACATATTGTGAAGACCTCTGTATAATATCTGTATTCTATAACATTTCCCATGTTTTTTCCAGTCCATGTGGAGGACAAAGCGCAGCACGGTGGATGGGTACTTCTTAGCCGGGAAGAACATGACCTGGTGGCCGGTGAGTTGTGCAGAAACTCTATCTAGAGCACACTTTAAAAGTCAGATGGAGGCTAAATGTTCTGATTCGGACTCTCATCTATATTTAGGTGGGTGCTTCGCTGTTCGCCAGTAACATTGGCAGTGGACATTTCATTGGCCTGGCAGGGTCAGGAGCTGCAGCGGGAATTGGTGCCATTGCATACGAGTGGAATGTAAGAAAATAATCTGTCAAAAATAACTTTGATATGAAATATTAATAGGTTTAAGTTCTTGATGGTGCTGATATTTGTTAACTGACAGGGTATGATGATGGTACTGCTGCTGGGATGGCTCTTCCTGCCCATTTATATTGCCTCCGGTGTGAGTTTTCTTCACACACTCTGAAAAAAAGAAACAATAAGTTGTTGCATGCATGATTTTGGTCATTTATTCCCCCGTGATCTCATAGAGCTTGACTTTATTTCTTCTACAGGTGACAACGATGCCAGAGTATCTGCAGAGGCGGTTTGGTGGTAGAAGAACTCAGTTGTTTATAGCCATCCTTTCCTTATTTATTTACATCTTTACAAAAATATCGGTAGGCTATAATCCACAGTAGTGATTTATTTTGTGAAGCTTTGTCTGGCTTAATTTCTCTCTAGTTTCTTAGCATAAACCTATGTGTGTTTTTGGCCAGGTGGACATGTATGCAGGTGCCCTGTTCATTCAGCTTGCCTTACAATGGAACATCTACCTGGCTGTGGTGCTGCTGCTGTTAGTCACTGCTATCTATACTGTAGCAGGTGAGCTACAGTCCCACTCATGTTGGCTGTTCTGTATTTTACCAGCTTCTAGAAGTGCATAATGTGCTGTTTGCTGTTCATAGGTGGTCTGGCTGCAGTTATCTATACAGATGCAGCTCAGACTGCTATCATGCTGGCAGGAGCTCTGACCCTCATGGGCTTCAGTAAGTGAGGATGTGAGTGAAAATCACAGTTTCCAGTTTCCAACCCTTTATGATCCAGCTGATCTGACTATTTTGCCTCTATGCGTAGGTTTTGTGGAGGTTGGAGGCTGGAATGCTTTCATGGAGGGTTACGGGAACGCCATCCCATCAATTCGTGTACCCAACTCGACCTGTGGCATCCCCCGAGAAGATGCTTTCCACATATTCAGAGATCCAGTGACTTCTGACCTCCCCTGGCCTGGTGTTATTGTCGGCATGTCCATCCCCTCCATGTGGTACTGGTGCTCTGATCAGGTCAGTGATTTTCAAAGCTAAAGTTATGAAAGTTAAAGTTATGAAAGGAAGCTTTCCCCTCAGAGAGTGTTTAATTGGTAGAGTTCAAATCAAAGACTTCATAGGCAAACCTCGTTTCTACAGTGAAGGCAGTTCAGAGCTCGTGAGCCCTGATTTACCAACATGAGCATTAAAAAATGAATTTAAGATGTAAGATGTCACGAGATCTTTCATCTATAAGATATAAAAGTACAACTTAGAGCTTTTACATCTTGTTGACGCCGATTAAAAATTTTCTCTGAAGTACTCAGAGAGTTTTAATCTGAAAATCCTCATCGTAAAGAAGCTGGCATGTTTCAAAGATCCAACTGAAGTGAGATAAGAAAAAGCATGGTTAGTTTTCATTAGCATTTACAGTCTTTCCAGATACACAGCAGCATCTGTTTAGCCCCTGATATCTTATAAATTCCTGAGTGATAGCAGTAAGCTTTGTGGTTCCATTCTGCCTTACATTACACAGATATGTAGTTACCTGCTTTACATATATATATTTATATATATATATTTATTGGTCAGCTTTTAATTTGGGACTCTCTGCAGGTCATTGTGCAGCGCTCTCTGGCTGCCAAGACCCTGACCCATGCAAAAGGAGGCTCCCTGCTGGCTGCGTACCTCAAAG